TTGTAGCAGGAACTCCTTTGCATGTTAGGCCACACACCCCTAATGTAGCCAATTATAATGCGTTTCTGCTGTTGGGTGTGGCCTATTATGCTAATGAGTTCCTGCTGGGCGTGGTCAACTTTGGAGCCAGCCGGAACTCCGTTCCTGTGCGTTCTTGCCCAAAAATAGCCCTGGCTATTTTTCAAAATCTTAACAGCATTTTAAATAAGCTATAGCCAGTCACTGCCATATTTTTTGTAAAAGCCAGTGTCACATGGCAGTTAAAATGAGCTGCTAGTGAGGCTAAGAGGTGCCTACAGGAGCAAACAGTTTGAAATCTCACCTCAGTCAAACTCACTGGGCAGCCTTAAGACAAGCACTTCCTCCCAGATTCAGCCCCCTCACCCTCACTGCTCTACGTGCTATATGGTGGTGATACTAATAGTAATTGGAAGAGCAAGGACATCAGCCTAGCAACCAGATGCAGATTAGTCTGTGCTATTGTGTTCCTCATAGCAACCTATGGACCATGAAGAAACAAGACAGGAGGAAACCTGACTCATTTGAACTGTGGTGCTGGAGAAGGCTCCTACGCATTCCTTGGACACCAAAGGTGACAAACAAGAAAGTATTGGCGCGCATAAAACCAGACATGTCATTGGAAGGAAAAATAATAAAACTGCGACTGACTTATTTTGGCCATGCCATGTGGAAGAACTCACTAGAAAAAGCAATTATGCTTGGATTGGTTAGCGGCAAAAGGAAACTGGGACGCCAAAGAACACGGTGGCTAGACACCATAAAAGTGGACACCAGCCTGAGCATGGAATGACCCAAAGAAACAGTACAAGATCGGAAAACGTGGAGAGAGTTGGCCCATAGAATCACCAATAGTTGGGCACAACTGAATGGCCAACAACAACAACTCATAGTAATAAAATATCAAAATAGCAATTGAATGCAAATCTGAGGGTGGGGATCTTTCCTGCAGAATCAGGACAATAGAAAAGGTCCAAGTAATCAGGTGAAGGACACCTAATGGATTAAGGGGTTGCAAATCTACTATGTACATAAGTGCCATCAAGTTACAGACGACTTACAGAAATCCCAACCAAGGACTTTCAAGGCAAGCAAGAAGCAGAGGTGGTTTGCCATTGACTTCCCTAGCAGCAGAGCTTTCCTTGGTGGACTCCCATCCACTTACTGACCCTGCTTAGCTTCTGAGATCTGATGTGATGGGACTCTACCGAGCCACGTCCCTTCCCTGCATGTCTAATGCTTGAACAGGAAAAAGAACAGATGGACACCCCCCCCCCCAACTGGTGCAACTGTTTGTTTTGGACTGACTACTGAATAGTCATAGTCATGGGTAACCATTTACAGCTTGGATGGCCTAGTTACACAGCACAGGTGCCACAAGTTCCTGGCATTCCGGCTCAGAACTGGACGGCCTGGCCATGTGACAGTCAAAAATATGCTCCCTATCTTTCTAGAGTGGTGTCACTACCTCCTCAGCTCACTAGGTTAGAGGCAGTCCACAACACTGGTGGGTGGCGGCGGGGGTTATCTTGTTAAGGCGGGGCAGGTGGCTTTTCACAGGGTTTCAGAAGTAGGTGAAGAAGTAGCCATTAGGTCAGACCAGTGGTCAATCTAGTCCCAGCATCCTGTTTCACATAGTGGTCTAACTAAGGTCTTGTCCCCAAAAAGCTTTTGTACAAGTAAGCAACCTCTTTGCTTCTTTCCTGTTTTGGACAGGATTTGTGACAAAATTGTCCAAAAACAACAAAAAAAAGCAGGCTTCTACCTACAGAGAGGGTTTTTTTTCCTCTTCACAAAGTCAGACATGAGTCTCTTGGCCCCATATCCTCTTTTAAACATAAAATATACACCAGGGATACCCAGCACAGTGCCTGTGGGTGACTTGGTGCGTATCAGTACCTTTCCTGCCACCCACCAAGTGTTTTTAGAAAGTGGGTGGGGCCAGATGAGGCATTTGGCCAGCAAGGCTTCTAAGGGGTCATGGGAGGTATGACTGGTTGTGCAGCCACTTCAGCAGCAGCTGCCACAACACCACAAGGATCTTCACCGTGTGACCGTGACCGTGTGACTGCCTGTATGGGCAGGCTCCACTTCCAGCAGCAGCCATTTTGTGGCTGTGCCCACCACCCTGTGTGAGAATTCCAAAGGTGCCTGCAGGCTCAAAAATATTGGCAATCCCTGATAAACACAACTACAGACTTCCAGAAAGAAACTGTATGAACAACAGCTGTTAGCTGAATTCCTCCTGTGTCTTTAAGACATTTTCCACATTCGCTCCTCCCCCCACCCTTCCTCCGAGGACAGAAAGAGCTCTTCATAGCAGACCTCCTAGTGAGTTAGTCTTTCTGCAGGCCCATTGTGCTCCAATTCTATGCAAATACAAACAGTGATTATGTTTGCATGAAGTTCTGATTGCTGGAAATGTTTGGATATTTCACTAATCATTTAGCTCATAAGTCGCCTTGTATTTACCAGCAACAGGGTAATTATGGAGTATACACTGGAGATAATCTGAATTCTAGCTCGTAGGCAGAAAAATATCATTTTATTTTAAAGTAGACGCTGTGTTGATATTTTTGCAACCTCACTGCTTTTCTTCCACTTTGAACTGTCTGTTTCCTGCATTTTTAGCAAAAGCACCATCACAAGGAAGAACCACTGATGAAAGGGAAAGAAGCTGAATTTACAAGATCTTCATTAGGTATCATGATTGATTTCTGGTAGATGATTTCAATCTCAATGGATGATGACAGAATAATATTTAGACAGCACAGTTGCGTGTTCAAAACATAAGTTATTTCAGTAATCCTTATGAGAACCCTGTTGGGTAGGAAGCTGCTATCTTCAATGCCAAGAGATAATGGCTTGCCCACAACCACCTAGCACATGGCCATTTATATTTAAGCAGCTTTGTGTATGTGTTGGGTGATGGGTGTGTAAATGTTTCTCAATGATCAATCTTTTATAATCTCTCCTCCTTCTCACTGGTGGTGGAAAGTGCCCTCAGTCACAGAAGATTTATGATGACCCTGTAGGGGTTTCAAGGCAAGAGATGGACAGAGGTAGTTTGCCATAGCTTGCCTCTGCGTAGAAACCCTGGATTTCTTTGGTGGTCTCAACCAGGGCTGACTCTATGAACTGCTAAGATCTGATGAGTTTGGAGTAGCCTGGACATCTGGGGCAGGGCTCCTACGTATGACGTTGAGCGTGTTTTTTTTCCCAGAAATCTGCAAGGTTGGAGGGGAGTACATATTTAGGTTTGCATATTATTTTGAGTCGTTTCAATCCTGTCAATGTCAGGATTAGCTAGGGTTCCCAGTTCCCGACCCAGAGACTCTGCCTCCTCCTCTTCTAAAAGCAGCTCCAAAGCAACAACAGAGATTGAAGACATACTTCTGGGATACTTTGCTTGCAAAGAGATAAAACTGAAGTCCCTTTCAGGGCTGCAATGTTTAGTCAGTTAACTGATTCAATCAATCAATCAGAAGCCTTTTGACAGATAAATCAGTCTGCAATATTATTAAAAATTTTTTTTAATATAGTTACAAAACCCGTAGAAGTCAGGTACCATCACAGAAGAGGTATTCTCAATTGTGTGAACACAAGGGAATGCCTCTAAGATACATGCTTCATCTATAGTGTTTACCTGCTTCAGAAACATTGTTTTAGTCATATGGAAATGTGTGCTGATTTAAAATAGCCTACAGAGGAGTTAGAAGGGCATAACTCTGCTTAGGGCTGCACTAAGATAAAGGTTCCCTTGCTCGAAAGCCAGTCGAATCCGACTCTAGGGTTGCGGTGCTCATCTCCGTTTCAAAGCCGAAGAGCCAGCGCTGTCCGAAGACATTACCGCGGTCATGTTGCCAGCACGGAACGCACGGAACGCTGTTACCTTCCCACTGAAGTGGTACCTATTTATCTACTTGCAATTTCTTGCTTTCGAACTGCTAGGTTGGCAGGAGCTGGAACTAGAGACAGGAGCTCACTCTGTCATGGGTCTCAAACTGCTGAACTACCGACCTTCCACAGCCTGCAGTTCAGCGTCTTAACCACTTGAGCCACCGCAGCTCCTGCCCGTTAAGTAATTCAGACTCATACAATTAATCACCCTCCACCTGTATATTCACCTACCATGTCCGCAGGAAATCCATCTTGGCTTGACAAAGAAGTATGCTGAGGTTCTGTTCCAAAAATCTCCAACAGTCTCTCCCCCCCCCCAAACTAGTCAGCTGACTTCAAAAACAACACCATCAGAATTTCTTTGTGTTGTTTCTTTTCCTTTAAAAGCCAGACAGTGAACTCAGAGGTGACCTAGAAAGAGAAAAAAATGTGGATGAAATCAAATTGTATCACAGTAAAGTTTTACCAGCTATGAAAGCATGCAATAAGGAAAGGATGGCTGTTCCACATTGGAAGCTGATGCTGGTGGAACACACAAACACTTCCTAGCTTTCAGGATCGCCACAATTCTGGGGGTAACTTGAGGATTTTCCTTTACAAACTATCAATTCAAAACCTTTATTGGCATGGATCAGAATCATAAACAGTCACCCTTCAGTTCATGGATTTAACACACAGCTTCCTCATTATAAGGCAGCTACAGAAATTAGCCACCGCTTCAATAACCACTGTATTTTGTGAAGCCAATAAACGGTACAACATTCTGTCATCTGATTGTTTGACATCTTTCTTAAGTATGGCTTCTAGATAGACTGCCCGAATGTCATCATACAAACTACAGTGGAGGAATACGTGTTCGATTGTTTCAATCTCCTCTGAATCACAATCACAAAACCTAACAGAGTAGGGGATTTTCTTAAATCTTCCTGCTAAAACCGCAGAGGGGAGCACGTTAAAGCGGGCCAGTATAAATGCTCTACGCAGCTGGGGAGAAGTCAAATCCGATAAGTATTGTGCAGGGGTGTTGATTGGAAAACGTGCCCATCTTAAAGGGGAGCATCTACCAGAAGCCAAGGCTCTAAGCTCTTGCATCTCAATATCAATTAATCTCTGTCTGAGCAGGGCAAAGATGTGTACTTCAGATAAGGACATCATATCAGCTTCACAAACTAAATATTCTTCTGCTGAAAAATAAATAGCCAAGAACTGAAGGCAGACAGATCTTCCCTTTTTCCAATATAGCCCAGATGGTCAATAGAACACTTATTCCAGACCAACAGAAGTCCACAGCTCAAAAATGTCTCTTATTCATACCACTTTATCTGCCAGCCCTGTCCTTATTAATTCACCATCATTTTGCTGGGGACATTCTTTCAGCCTTGCATCTAAGCTATGAGGGGCTTCAGACCTGGGAGAACACAGGAAACATAAGTCACTTCTCCACACATCTCCATAACCGTTAAAAGAGAAATGTTGCATTCCCTTCCTCGTGCGGAGTACAGTTGTAGGATCTTGCACATTTCCTCTAGAGAACTAAACCACTATGAACATTCTTCTAACATTTGGACCCCTCAGTTCATCAGTGCTCACTTAGTGGTAGAACATGTTTAGCAGGGGGCTCTGCTTAACACGTGACACGCTCAGAGAGACAAGATTTCTTGGACACCTGCACTGAAAGCAGCCCGAAACCCAGAGCGACACTTTCCATGACACACTGAAGCAAGGGACAGCCAAAGCAATTGTCAACAGGAGCAGCAGCTGTGAAACTGCCAGGCAGCTGGGCTAACCTTCTGAACCTGCAAAAGATTTGTTAATAAGCTTACTCAACATTCCTTAGCTTATGCCTGTGTGGTTGTGAAGAATTGTTAGGGTCATTTCAACACATCAACCAGGTGCTTTTTCTAAGGAGGAGAAGAAACGAAAGGGGTGGGGGAGAGACACAAATATTTGCAATGGGCTGTACTGAACCAAAGTTGTGCTGATTCTGTTCTGTGCTATTTATGCATCATCAGCATCATAATTGCCCAGGATACCTCTGAAAACAGCCAGGTTTCACAGTGGCATTTGAAAATGTTTATTTATTCTTCTTTGCCCATTGTGTTTCAGAGAACTACAAACTTGGATCGACCATGGGAGCTTAAAGATTTATAACAGAGGAATACAAAAGTGACCAGTTCTCCTTTATTTTGAACAGCTGGATCTCATTAGAGCTCTTTGTTCTGACTCAAAAATCTGCTATAGGTGTGAAAGCTTCAATGAGCTTCCGTATTCACTTGAACAGAAGCTTCACATTTGCAGGCGTTCCATGTCATCTGACAATCTCCCTTATAAATAAAAGCCGAATGGTGGTGGCACTTCTCTAGAACATTCCACACGCTCCAAAATCAGTTCGCTCTCTGATCTGTCATTCAGAGGGTCTCCCTATCCACTGGCTGCTTTGCCTGAGTCCTGCCTCCAACATTCTAAACATTTTGCTGTTCCCCTCCCCCCCCATAGCCAGTCAGAACACGAGGTTATTTGCATATGCAGCCTCATTGGCCTTTGCCTCGGAACACAGAGGTTGTTTGCATTTGCGACTTGATTGGCTTTTGCCTCTAACATTTTAAACAGTTTTCTGTTCTGAGGTAAAATGTGTCCAATCTCCAGGTGAGGGCTGGCGAGCCCTCAGAATTGCAACTGCTTTCCAGATGGCAGAGATCAGTTCCCCTGGAGAAAATGGTGGGCTCTGTATCCTTATATGCTGCTGAGGTGGCCCCCATATTGACAGCCAATGTGACGTAGCAGTCAGGGCTTCAGAGCACGGGAGAGGCTACAGGTGTGTGTGTGGGGGTGGAAAGGTGAAGAGTGAGGGGGAAATAAAGGTAGGTTGATGGTTGGCTGGAAAGGAGATAGGGTTGCCAACTCCAGGTGGGAAATTCCTGGAGAGGTGAGGGATGGAGCCTGGAGAGGGTGAGGTTTCAGGATGCATGGGACCTCGGACAGGTACAAAGCCATAGACTCCACCCTCCAAAGCAACTATTCCCTTCTGGGGAACCATCGTTGCCAATCTCCAGGTGAGGGCTGAAGATCACTCAAAATTACAACTGTTCTTTGGGTAGCAGAGATCAGTTCCTCTGGAGAAAATGGGGGACTCAGTGTCATTATACCCCGCTGAGGTAGCCACAGCAAATTAACACTGAGTGACCAAGGCCGGGGCACCCGCCCAGAGCCTCTTTCTAGAGGCTGTTGTATTTATTTCCACAACGGGCCTTTTTCCTAGGGTACATATAATTCTGGAATTATATAACTTCATATAACTTCAGAAAGAGATAGCAGAATCTCCTTATCTCAGGTAACTACAACATGTCACTCCAGTTAAATGGACGCCTTTGTTCACTAGGACTGTTGGGCTTCCCATCGGTTCCTGGGAGAAAAAAACAAACTGTCCGCATTGTGTGCAATGTGATGTCACTTCCTGGGAAAACCTGGAAGTGGCATCACATAGCTTTTCAGAATCACCCAAAACTCTATATTTTTATCATAGAGTTTCCAGCTATTCCTAGAATCACATGATGTCATGATGTGCCCCCCATGTTTCTGCGAGTTGCCAGACTTATACAACCGTATATTTATAATATTCCTAGGTAAATATTTATGATTGTAGTATTGGTTACAGAACCTGAACAACGGATATAGCAGCACAGTAGATGAATTAGAAAGTGCTCTTAAATACACAACACAAATAAACTTACATGGTCTGCCCTTAAAGACAACTTGGAAACTACTGTTGGTACAGAATGTCATGACCTGGCTATTATCGGACACCAAGTGGAATCTGTATATCATTCCCTTTCTGCAAACACTCCACTGGTTATAGATTTGTTGCCAGGTTCAATTCAAGGTGCTAGCTATCACCCACAGCATTCAAGGCATCAGACCCACATACCTGCAGGACCACCTCTGCTGCTCTGTTCCACTGCATCAGCCCCACTTATCTGAGCAAAGCCTCCTGAAAGTGATACCTTGCAAACAGGTAAGATTGGCAACTGCCCATTCACGCACATTCTCTCGCACTCTCTGTTCACCTAATAGGCCAGCTACACTCCAAATTCTGCTAGGGATATTAAAATATTGAAATGTTGTTTCATACTCAGACACTGATCATACCTTCTCTCCATCTGAAGCAACCTGAAGGACTTATCCAAACAATCACCTCAAATTTATTTAGCAGATTTATCTCTCACTCTTCTTCCCAAAAGCTGGGGTTTCTTTTAACCCCATTGCTACCATGACAGTGAAATAAGACTGAGAAATGTTTAGCTGCCCAAGGACAACCAGTGAGATCCATGGCTGAGCAAGAATCTGAACTCAGGTCTTCACAGTGCTATTCCAACACAGAATGTCTTTATGAGTCAAGATACAATTCCATGCTAATTTCAGAAAAACACATTTCCCCTAGATTTATGTCTGGTGGTTAACATGAATGTAGAGGAAGATGTTTGAAGAGGAGAATCAATAGGAGGATGCTTTGACCTTCCTGTGCCCCCTGACCCTGCCCTGCAAATGGCCCCACCCCTACTCTGTTTTTCTCTGCAGTCAAATTTGGCTGTGGAAAAACCAGTTTTCTTACAGGGCACATAGAGCATTTGCAAGGTGGACTTATTCATTCATTTAGAACTCTTTAATGATGCGACTCCAGGGAACCTGCCCGAGGTGGCTTACAAAAGGAAACATAATAAAAACAGTTATTAATTAAAACCCAACAGTAAAAGCCCAGTGAGAGCATAAAAACACCGAGCCACTTAAAATAAATGTAATGGTTTCCAGGCTAAAAGCCCTGTAAAAATTTTGTTAGAAAAAATATCAACCCCTTCATTAAAACACAGAAAAGTTTTGGCCTGGCACTTACAAAAAATAGTGGAGAAAGTGCCAGGCAAGCCGTAAAAATTTTGTTAGAAAAAAATATCAACCCCTTAATTAAAACACAGAAATGTTTTGGCCTGGCACTTAAAAAAAATAGTGGAGAAAGTGCCAGGCAAGCCTCAAGAGAAAGGGCTTTCCATAGGCAAGGTGCCAGTACTGAAAAAGCTCTGCCTGTGGTTGGCATCCGCCTCTCTTGAAGGCGAGGGTACAGAGAGCAGGGCTTGTGAAGCAGACCTTAAGTGGTGGGCTGCACGATATCGGAGGTGGTGGGTTGCTGGATGAGTTCAAAACCCCCTCTTGCCCACCAGTTCTCCCCTGCATATGCTCCCTCCTCCCTGGTCTAACCCTGGCATTAAAAGGAAGGCAAACACAGGATTAAGAACTTCATGCTTGGCTTCATAACACGGAGCATCATCCCAAC